GCGTGTGGGTGTGTGTGTGTGTGTTGGTGGTTGTGTGTGTGTGTTGGTGGTTGTGTGTGTGTGTTGGTGGTTGTGTGTGTGTGTTGGTGTGTGTCTGTGTGTGTCTGTGTGTGTCTGTGTGTGTCTGTGTGTGTCTGTGTGTGTCTGTGTGTGTCTGTGTGTGTGTGTGTGTTGGTTGGTTGTTGTGTGTTGTTGTGTTTTGTTGTTTGTGTTGTTGTGTGTGTTTGTTGTTTGTGTTGTTGCGTGTTTTGTTGTTTGTGTTGTTGTGTGTGTTGTTGTTGTTTGTGTTGTTGTGTGTGTGTTGTTGTGTGTTGTTGTGTTTTGTTGTGTGTTGTTGTGTGTTGTTGCGCGTGTGGGTGTCGCTGTGTGGGTGTGTGGGTGTGGGTATGTGGGTGTGTGTGGGTGTGTGGGTGTGTGGGTGTGTGTGGGTGTGTGTGGGTGTGGCTGTGTGGGCGGGTGTGGGTGGGTGGGTGGGTGCGTGGGCGGGTGTAGGTGGGTGCGCGTGGGTGGGTGGTTGGGTGGGAGTGGCGGGGTGTTCGTCGTTCTAGGTTCTTAGTAGGTTTAAGCCGTTTAAGCTTGGAGTTTAGGTTGTTGTCTCCGTCCGGTATTTCGAGATTATGCAAAGGGGCCGGAGTGCTGCATCTTCTCATTCCGAGCCTTGTGGTTGGTCCGTAGAACTGTAGTGCCACTGTAGCCAGTGCCTCAGAGACTACAAAATCCTTGCATAGGCGTTCGTAAAACCACGTACCTGTGGCACTGCAGCCCCGAAGACTGTAATCCAATTATATTAGCATAGACGTCAAAGAGCGAAAGACCACAGAGAGAGCATCACTGGAAGACGACATCAGGGCCACATCCTGAGACCACTCCAAGCCGAATAGGACTGGACAGACTTGGAGCGATTTGCCGTCGCCGCCCAGAAACTCCAATACCACACGAGTGTCAAAAGTCAATATCCTAGCGGGATTGGCTGGAGCACGACTTACACAGAAAAATGTGCGCGTCACTGCGGTTGCGGAGCGCTACAAACTAAAGAGCTCCATGTCCCCGGCGAACGCAGCAGGATATTCGCGAGAATTCGACTTTGGTCGGAACCGGGCGTAACTAGCCCATCCTGTCGCCACACGGCTTCTGGCTTCTTGGGCAACGAAACCCAAACCAGCAAGAAGCTATAATTCAGCTCACCCCGCATCCCTGGACACTGCTTTTGAATCATTCGTAATTGTGTTCTCTTACTATCCCCATAAGTTATTGTATGAACTCCAAAGATCTCCAAACCCTCATTCGTAGTCTCCACCCAGGCGGACTGCTCCTTTCACGGGTGTCCGCCCGGATCTACTTCCAGTCATCTCGCAACGGCAGGCTCGTTCACGATATCGGTAAACAACCCAAGCCAGTTTACGGGATTGACGTCGTTCTTTGTGCGGGAGTAGTTGGCTTAGTATGGTATTGATAGGGCTTCGATACGAGCTTCTGTGGTTGAAAGACGGCAACACTTTCAACCCAGAGCCCAGCGTCCTCACAACGATCTCAGGTTTCTGCGTTCTGCACGAGTATACGAAACTTGCACGCCTGTAGGGGCTTATGTTCGGGTCAGTGGCTTTGTTTACAGGCTCGGTTTCGGAGAAGGTTTCCTTCCTGTCCTGAGCGACTTAGCCCTGTCTCGGCAAGACCGATGATAACAATTTCCCCTGCAGCCAGGTCTCTATTGACAAGAGCATGCTGCCGGCCCTCTACCAACCCTTCCGGGAGGAAAGGAAGCACCCCTATGGCGCCCCGTCATGATCTCCACAGTATTCAGCAGGTACGTTTTTACAATACGTAAATACACAAATTCACGTACTTATACACATGCATGTGCACGTACACACAAGCACAAACACACATGCACGCGCACACACACAGACTTACACATACACACCCGCAGAGATACATATAGCGTGCATACATACGTGCATATATGCACACACATGCATACCATACATACATACGTGCATACCTATTTGCAAACATCCATGCCCATATACAATTACCTACATACATACATACATACATACATACATACATGCATAGTATGCAGACATGTACACATGCATGGGCATAGTTGTGCACATAGACATATGCATTCAAACATACACATGCACCTGCACACATTTACATGCAGATATACAAACGCAGATGCATACGCACACATGTATGTATGTATGTATGTATGTATGTATGTATGTATGTATGTATGTATGTATGTATGTATGTATGTGTGTATATAAATATACATACATACATACATACATACATACATACATACATACATATGCATCCACACACTTGTACGCAAACTTGAACCGATATAGCTGTCACGACACTACATGTGCAACATGTAGCTGCGGCTGTGCTAGCCCAAAGCAGCGTAGATTGCCCAAATCGATAGCTGCGCGGATCGCCCACTGGCCTCTGCAGTGTCAAACATGCCGGGTTTAGGCTTTGTATCGGCTTTGGGATTTGTAATGTTTAACCTTCTCGTATGCAAGACATTGCAAAGCCTTTGCAGACATCTCATTCTACACGCCTTGTCGGCGAGTGAAACGCTAAAGCCGGAAAAATGTCAGCTGCCAGCAAGGCCTGGAGGATCCTTCGACGCTGTGCCCGCGCGGGACTTTCAAGCAGCCGCCCGAAACGACCGAACCCTTGTTCAGCCTGGTCCAGCAGGCACTGGGAAATCTGAGCAGGGTTGGAGCTTGTCTGAGGCTGCCAGATAGCTGAAACTTGGGTCATCACTAACCACTCTGATGTTGGCCCTTGCGGCTACAGCACCAGTGAGTCCCAGCACTGATCATCTTCAATCCAGAGTCCAACCCTTCCGGCGGAAATTGGACGGTGAGGGTTCAGCGTGTTTTTACTGGCCGCGGGGGTTTTCAGAGTCTGAAGTGGCGGCTCGCGGAGTGCGGTCTACACGAGATATGACAACTCCTTGAACAGAACTTGGGCTCAGAGCCGCAGATTGGGTTCAGGCTACCGGGCATGCTTTCCTCGCTGTCGGGTTAAGGTCTAGGTTCGGGGTTCCGGGTTTAGAGGTGCAGGTTAGTTTTGCCGTGCCATGTTGAGCATGGCCTAGGTCGAGGTGTTTGTTCCTTAGCAATCGGTGCTCCAAAGCCTGAGCTTGCGCAGGAGGTACCACCTCCTGATGCGACGATCGTCCCCCGCAAGTTTGGCCGTAAAAAGCCTTGATGCCAGAAGGCCGGAGCAGCCGGAGATGCTCATCGAATCCCACTCGTGTTGGCACTTTCAGGCGCCGGTCCCAGCACAGCCTTGGCTACTTGCGGGCTGAAGGCTCCGATGAGGCATCGAGCAAGATGGGCACTAGTTCTGAGAGTCCATGTCGTTGCCTTCTGCCTACAGCCTGCAGGGCCTACAGCTAAGGCAGATTTTCCAGCCTCCTCTGTTTTGAGCATGTCACACAGCAAGACGTACGTGAAGTTTCAATGAACCGATTGGGTTGCGGTTTTGCTTATGACCCAGCGCCTCAAGACTTTTGTCTCAAGGTATCTCGGCACTCGGCAGGCACTGTTTCCTTTAAAACCCCTCCTCCCCTTCACTCATCACGACGATGGCCAGATACTCCATGCCCGTGCAGAGCATCCCCACGACTTGGAGGATGGCGATCTCCGCAGATGACGCCGGCTTCGCCATGCTCCTGACCCCTCGCCGGCCTGGCCACCACATGCCACGACGATCGGCGCAGCAATTGCATTCTGTGCCAATACTGACCACAACCACGTGTTTGCTGGGGTGATGGCGTCCGATAGTTCTCGCTGTTGGAGTGGCTCAGCAGCTGATCAGAACCAAGATCTTCCACACCCCTCGGCGCCTCTGAGCGGTTGAATATGCTGCAGATGGCCGCATTCTCAGGGATTGCTGTCGCCTTGCACAATTTCCCCGAAGGCATCGCAACCTTCATTTCGACAATAGCCGATCCCAGCTTTGGGCCCGCCATGGCATTCGCCATCGCCATGCACAATATCCCCGA